GGCCTCTGTCTGGAGCGTGTTCTAGCTCATCTTCTGCACAACTCTTTACTGTTCCTCAAGACCGAACTCCAAGGTCACCTCCTCTGTGATCAGACACATGGGTTGCTCTTTTCTTTGGGTTTCCATAGCACTGACTACCTGTCTACTTATCTCTGCATTACCAAGTCTCCATTGTACTACGGATTTGTACAAATAACTCTTACCCCTACAAAAAGCCACAGACGCAAGGAAATCGCGATACCTCTGTGGCCACTTCACATCATCTTGGCGAGGGTTTCCTCCATCCAAGCCGGGTCTCCGAGTCCCCCTACTTCTGCCCTGAAGCATCTCTCCCTGCCTACTCGGGCACCAGTGTACCCACGCGGCTCCTGACTCATGTGCAGGCCTGGAGGTGCCCGTGACATAACACCAGAAGGGTCAACCCTAACCAACAGGAAATAGGAAAGAGAGACAAAGTCCCAGAACAGACGGTTCTGAAGTTCATTCTCTGCAGATTGGGCCCCTGGCAGGATCAAGTCTCGGTTGCCCACTGTGATGATTTTCTCTGAACTCCCTCTTCCCTCCCTCCACTTCCTCGAGCTCAGTTCCCAAGACAAACATCCTGCATACAATCGCTGTTATTATGACAGAGTAACTGTTTTGGAAAAACTCACTAAGACAATCGGGAAGAACATTGGGTCAGAGAACTGAATTCTAGTCTTAGCTTCACCTCTGCCTCGGGGTTTATTATCTACAAATTCATTCCTCACAGCACTCGTGGGAAGAGAAATGAAGAAATGTGGAATGTGTGGAAATGATCTGTGAAGGCAAAGCGCTATGGAAAGTAACATGAGCGTTATGCTTTAGGAGGAAATCCTTAACAATTCAACCTTCCAGTGATAGAGCTCCTCAGGACTCTGTCCTTGGCCTTCCTCGCTTCTCACGGTTACCCCCTTTCTTAATGATCCCGTCCATTTCTAAGGCTTCAACACATCAGCGCTATCAGAGAGGTATGTTTAATCTAGACCTGTGCTGTGCAGTAGGGTAGCCCCTCACTTGCTACTGAGCACTTGAAATGTGACTGCTCTGGCTGGCCCTACAGCCTGGTGGTCAAGGGAGGCAGATCCCACATGGCCAACCTTGTAGATCAAATCCTGGAGCCAGCAGCTTGTAAAACATGCTGGGCCCATGTGTGTGCATGCCTCATATCCCAGCAGGTTGGAGAAATGGAGATGAGATTAGCAGAGCCACACCCTATTGAGGGGTGGTTTCATCTTCTCCCTCTCTCTCTGGTGAGCACAGTTGCCCTCTGGCTACTTTTAAAAAAAAAAGAAGAAGAAGAAAGAAAAAGAAATATGACTGGTCTGAACTGAGACGTGTGAGTTAAAAACAGCTGGGGCCAGTAGATGGCATAGGGGTTACACTGTTGGACTCCCACAATGGGTGACTGCAGTTCAAGTCATGGACATGGTGGCTTGAAAATCAGGTCAGGGTCATGTGCGTGTGAGCCCAAGATCCCAGGAGGAGGATGGAGAAGGGACTGTGGTGTGGCCATCCCCCGGGGGATGACTTCTCACATTCTCTCATTGTCTCGTCTTTCCCTCTCTCCAGTGTGCGCACGTGCCCCATGGCAAACATCTCTTTTAAAAAAAGTTTAGCAGCTTTCTCATGTTCTCTCTCTCTCTCTCTCTCTTTCTCTCTCTCTCTCATGAGCATACATACCCTGCAGCAAATTTTAAAATAATGATAAATAAAATTAAATAATTCTTTAAAAACAAACCAGTTCAGTAGGCTGTGCTATTCGGGATATTCCTGGTACTAGTTGACAGACCATCCAAGAAAAGCTCTCTGTTATTGTTCCTTATTTTAGATTTTATAAACGGCTGTAAAAATTTCAAAGACCTGGCATATGTATCTATTTTTCCAGGCTCACAGCTCACCATCTTCAACTGTATCGTGCACCTTATTTATTATTTTTTTTCGAGAGGTTTTTGCTATAGGCCGTGTGCATTCGCCCGAAAGACAGAGACAGAGAGACAGAAAGTGAGAAATCACCCCCCAGGGAGGATGGCCATGCAGAAATCCCTTCTCCTTCATTCTCTTCTCAGGATCTTGGGCACGCCTGCACACGCGCCCAGCATGAGTTTAAGCCACCGGGTCCGGGACTTGAACCACGGTCGACTACATGGGAGTTCAGTGACATAGCCATTATGCTAACTGCTGGTCCCATGTGCACCTTATTCATTCAACTTAGCTTTGAATGATTTCAAAGATATTCCCAAGGAACATGCTCTAAAGCAGTGATGTCCATCAGTACCATCTGCAACAACAGAAATGTTCTGTCTGCCTTGTCCAACAGAGAAGCCACTAGCCACGGGTGGCCACTGAGCACCTGACTTGTGGCAAGTGCAACTAAGAGACAGAATTTCATGTTTTATTTCACTTTAATTAACTTAAAAGAGATGATAGGTAGCTTAGTGGCTATCAACTGACATCTTAAAGCTGTCACCAGAAGAAAAGTTCCCAAAATATTTTATCACCAGTATATGCCAAGAATCTTATTAAAATTAGTATATAACCTCAACAAATGACCAATGTGCATATTTAAAATTTGTGTATCCTTGTGTAAAATAAATCAGTGATTTTACTATTTTCCCTTCAGATCCCAGTGACTGCTCTTCAAATACTCATCCATTGTTACTTAAAAAAAGTTGATGACCTTGACCCTCTTAGGCCGGCCAACATAACACGACAACACAGAAGCACACGGACTTGAATACCTCTGTGAACGAGGGAGGGTCACCCATGACCTCAAGTGCTCGCTGGGGACACACGGCCCAAGTCTGTCATGAAGTCTGCCTCCTAGGCAGGCAGTCTCCCTGTCCAGTGATGCAATCCTGGACGGATGAAAAGGGCAGACAAGATGGCAGCCATGTACTTTTGGAGCTGGTAAACAAATAGCAGAACCGAGATGTAATGAGGCCCCCACTGTGAGCGAAGCCTTGCCGAGCGATCCAGCATCACCACACGTCGAAGGGCAAGGGATAGCATCAGTTTCTGTCCTGACAGAAGGCCTGCTATACACAGCCCCACTGGTTGAACTTGTGACAAAAGGATACCAGAGTGACACCCATGCCTCTGCTGTATAGGAAGTAACTGGGGTGAGTACCAAAGTTTCCAAGGCCTGGCATTTGCATCCATTTTTCCAGGCTCACCACCTTAAAATGCAAGAAAAATATACTTTTGTATATGTGTTCTAGGACCTTGGTGGTCAAATTAACCTCTGAACATGTCACTGCCCGTGTGTACAGACTTGTACAGCATATTGGTACCACCTAGTAGATGTGCAGTTTTGTTTAGTGGAAATTCAGTGTAAGTTTAACATGGCATATTTATAATACACATTTGAATTAACTTAATGCTTTTTTTTTTTTTTTACTCTGGTAGGGAGTATATGTACTCACTAGAAAGAGACAACAGAGAGAAAGAAAAGTCCCCCTGAGGAACAACTATGCCACAATCCCTTCTCCCGTTTCTCCTTTCAGGATTTTGGATATGCACACATGTGCACCCAGAGTACTTTTCAAGCCACTGGATCCTGGACTCAAACTCCACAATTGGCCACGTGGGTTCCAGGCACCTTAACCACTATGGCACTGGCTGGCCCACGACATTCTGTTGTTGTTTTGTTTTTTTTGTTTTTGTTTGTTTGTTTTTGCTATAGGATGTATGCACTTGCTGGAGAGAGACAGAGAGGAAAAGTGAGAAATAGCCCCTCAGAGGGTATGGCCATGCTGAAATCCTTTCTCCTACATTTTCTTCTCAGGATTTTGGGCATGCACGCACATGTGCCTGGTGTGACTTTTAAGCCGACAGGTTCAGAATTCAAACTGTGGTGAGCCATCTGGGAGTACAGCGCCTTCACCAATTTGCCACCTGCTGGCTCCCCACTGCATACTTTTTAATTCACAGATTAAATAAAACAACCATTTTCCAACATACTTGTGAGATAGTCATGTCTGAAATTTTACTCTAATGGACTGGAAATGAAGTAGAAATACATCACAGAATATTAATGACCCTAAAGATTTTAAATCTTTAAGTAGCAAGTCAAACGTAGACATTTCACGAGAAGTGTGTCCATCTATGAATTCAATTCTTTCTTTTTTTTTTTTCGTTTTTTCAATTTGCCAGAGAGTACTTACGCTCACCAGAGAGACAGAAAGGGAGAGAGAGGGGAAGTGAGAAAGCACCCCAGGAGAAATGAGCATGCTGCAATCTCTTCTACATCTCATCTCTCCTTCCTTTTGGAATTTTGGGCACACAAGCACATGTGCCAGCGCATTTCTCAAGACACCAAGTCCAGAACCCAAACCATGCAGTCGGCCATGTGGGATCAGGCTGCCTTAACCACTACACCACGGACCACCCCAAAAACTTCACTTCAAATGACTATACTTGATACATGTTTGTGTTCTCTAGTTTATTTATTCACTTTTTGTGCCTTATTTAATACTTTTAGAAATAAGGAACATGCCTTCTTCACAATCTCTGGCTTCCAAAGTGCTTTACAGAGAGATGACTAATCGATTTTACCTTGGTGACAGCGGTGACAATGGAGTAAAATGAACAGAGTACAGTGTCCTGATTTATCCATGATGAAACAATAAGTAAAAGGTAGACATAGCCCTAGATCATGGAGAAGAAGCATGTAATATCACAGATCTGCTTGAGGTGAATTAGATGTTCATCTCTGATAGAAGATTGATTTAATGAGTTTGCTGGACAATCATAGAGGCAATTATCCTCCCAGTACTAATTGATTCAAGGCATTCTCTCTTCCAGAATGAGTATTCATTTCCATTTCACCATCCTAATCCAATGAATACGGACTTGTTCCTGGGATGCTAGGACCTCAGCTCCTCCTATATGCTGATCTGCCTTAATCCTCCTTCCCACACCCCACACAAGCCTCTCCACTGCTTCCCCCACACACACACACACACAGGTATTTGACTTACCTTAAAATTTTCTGGCAATGGTTTGTTCTGGTTCACCCCCACAGCAATTAAAGCTATCACAGCCATGATAGAGGAGAAGCCAAGGATTACCAAGATATTTTTGGAGCAAAATCTCTTCACGGTAGAACCTAAAACCAAAAGCAGAAGGGAAAATATCAACGAGAAATCAACAAACGCTGATTTTCCTCTCAATTCTGTCCGGTCTTGTGATAGCTATGTGGAAACCTGAGAAACAGATAGAAGTCGATCTTTACCCATGAGTCACTTGCAAAGTAACTGCGAAATTTAAGAACAAAAGGATCTGTCCGTACTGGGATGAGAAGCAACACGGAGTTAGTGGTTAGAGCAAGAAAAATGGACAAGACTGAGTCAATGATCATATATGGATTGCGGAGAAGGAAGAGTCTCAGATTGACCATTTGCTTAACAGGTCGTGTAGATCAAACAAAGATACAAGTCACGGGGCTGGCCCCACGGTGCAGGGGTCGGGCTCTGCGCAGAGAAAGCCAGAGCCCCAACGACCAGCCAGGGCTGAAGCTCTGGCCCCATCACCTGAAAAACATGTCAGGCATGTGCGTACGTGCCTAGGATCCTGATGGGAGGAAAGAGATTGTAGCATGACCAGACCTTGTTTTTCCAGGAGGAGGGGACTTATCTTTTTCATGTGTAAAAATGCACCTTCTGACTTAATAATACTTAAAGGAGAGAGAGAACAAGTAACAAAAAACAAGGATAACTCTCCTCATTTTTAAAATCTACCATAAAAAAAAAAACATTGACGATACTAAAAAGTCTTATATATCATCAAACTTCAAATCCCACCACGCCATGACATTTCTTGGCTTGACATAACTCTCCCATTACCCCCTGGCATAATAAGCAATTAGTAATAGCTTAGAGGCTGAGGAGTCTGAGTATCTCAGATCACTGTTCACATGACCTTATCTCCTTTCTAGTTTCACCCTATCGTGAGACATAAAAAATAAGCTCCAACAGAATTTATGAAAGGCAAAGTTATGTTAGTCAGATGTAAACATCATTTAGAGGTGGAGAACAGGAAATGGGGCGGTTGCATCATTCTCTCCCTCCTGACAACTCAGCCTCTTCCTCGCTCAACTTTACAAACTAGTCCCCACTTTCTTCTTAGGCCTTCGAGAGGAAAGATAGGATGACATAATAAAGAAACATATGGAAATGAGCCGGGTTCTCCAGAATAGTTTTAATTTCTCCAAGAACAGAGAGTAAGATCAAAAGAGTTAGAAGAGGATCTCGCGCCTCCTCCTCTTCCCGTCTTGGTGGATAAGCAGCTGGTGGAGGTTAAGATGGGAGCTCCTCCTCAGCAGAAGTTTAGACTTACCCAGGGACTGTCACTGTATGGATCTCCAGGATCCATCAACCTCTGGAACCGTTAACCACTCCCTACCTATCAGACCAAACAATAGAACACTTTGGAGAAAAGTTTTAGCAACTCTATTCCTTCCAAACAAGGAACAGTGGGAAATTTATAGCATGTCCCTCTTCTCCCTTCCCCAAAGAACCTCCACCTTACATAGATGCCCTCCTCTCAGGATGAACTCAACTGCATAATCTGCATAATCTCATTCCCTTTTGTGACCAGTTCAACAAAGGGTCCACAAGACCTATAAGAAGTCTACTGGGGCAAACTCAGTTAAAGAAAGAAAGAAAGAGAGAGAGAAAGAGAGAAAGAGAGAAAGAGAGAAAGAGAGAAAGCGAGAAAGCGAGGAAGCGAGGAAGCGAGGAAGCGAGGAAGCGAGGAAGCGAGGAAGCGAGGAAGCGAGGAAGCGAGGAAGCGAGGAAGAGAGGAAGGAAGAAAGGAAGAAAGAAAGAAAGAAAAGCCCTTCTCTCTCCTTCCCTGGTCATTGCCCAGCATCAATGGGGTGAAATCCAATGATGACAGAGTAGAGGGATGGTGAAAGCCTGAGTACCCAATGGCACTCTGAGCTGATAAATCAACCCACCTTGAGCCATCCTCCCTTTTGTTCTGATCCCATTAGGACCAGGACTTTAATCACTTGAAGCCAAAACATCCTGGCACAACCAATGAGGCAGAAACGTCCTCTGGAATCTGAAAAAGAATCCCCCTTGGGACCAGCAGTTAGCGTAATGGCTATGTCGCTGGACTCCCACCTAGTCGACCGCGATCTGCATCCTGGACCCAGTGGCTTAAAACTCACGCTGGGTGCGTGTGCGTGCGTGCCCAAGATCCCGAGAGGAGAATGGAGGAGAAGGGATTGCGGCGTGGCCATCCCCTCTGGGGGGTGATTTCTCGCTTTCTGTCTCTCTGTCTCTGTCTGGCGAGCGCACACGCCCTATAGCAAAAACCTCTCCAAAAGAAAAAAAAAAAAAGAATCCCCCCTAAGAACTCCACACCCCAACTCCCAAACTTGGGATAGTGACAAATACTGTTCTAATAAGCATGCGTGCTTTAGGAAGAACAATTACAGTACCCAAGGGCGGCTCCTCGTAGCAATGGTATAGTTTATTACAGTTTCTACTGTAATAAAATCTTGAAAGCTTTCCTCCCCAAAGCTGTTCAAAAGGTCTACCTATTTGTTTTCATAAACAGAGCAATTTTGCTGTCTAATTTCCCTTTCATTCCATATCTACTAAAGGCACTTTTCTTAGCATCCAGGTTACGACAGTGAAAAAGATCAAGAAGATCCCTGCTCTTAGGAATTTATAGTCTATTATAGTTAAGAGAGACAGATAAAGCGGAAAAGAAGTAAATAAGTGATTGCAGGTCTTGATAAGTAATAAGAAGACATTAAAACCAGTGAATGTGATCAAGTGGCTTGCACCAGAGGTGGGGATGAAAAGGAGGATAGTAGACTGAGGCTCAAAAGAGCCTCTCTGAGAACATGACATTTAGCCTGAGACCTGGATAATGAGAAAACACCAGCCATGAGGAGTGAGAACATTCTAGAAGGCACAAAACTGCAAAAGTCCAAATGATGATGAGCCGGCTCGAAGTAACTGAAATGATTTCTTCCTTTTCTTAAGAATATTTACTAACTCATGCTCACCGAACGGTTGGTTGTACATTCTACATTTGCCCAGCTTCTGCAATGATATCCACATCGCTAGATTGTATCTAAACCTTTCATCACACCCTTCTTTCTTTCTCTTTTTAAGTTTGCGATAGGGTGTGCTCTCACTGGAGAGAGGAGAGAAAGTGAGAAGGCACTCCCTCTCCCCCGGGGAAACGACCATACTGCAAGCTCTTCTCCGTTCTCCTCTAGAGATTTTGGGCACCCAGGCCCATGTGTGCTTGGTTATTCTCAAGCCCCCAGGCCTAGCATTCTAACAGCACAGTCAGCCACGTGGGCTCCAGTCATCTTAACCACACCCCTGGCTGGTGAAAACATTCTTATTTCTTATTAAACACACATACACACACACACACACACACACACACACATATATATATATATATATATATACACACTCAAAGAAAGGGGGGAAAAAAAACCCTTAAATCAGAAAGAAAGTTTAGGAATTTTTCTGTGTACAATTTTCAGAGGCATTATTACCAAAAAAAGCAACAGCTAAATTTATTGCCCAGAGAGGAGTATGTTATTCTTCCAGGGACTGTATGTCAGGTAGTTTTCAAAATCCCTGATCACGTACAAGAAGCGGAACCCTTTCCAGGCAATGACGCTAGGAGTGGGGTCCAGGTTGACACAGCCAAGGTGTGCTCATTAAAACAAGCTGGTTAGGGAACCAGCAGTTAGCGTAATGGCTATGTCGCTGGACTCCCACGTAGTCGACCGCGGTTCGTGTCCCGGACCCGGTGGCTTAAAACTCACGCCGGGTGCGTGCGTGCCCAAGATCCCGAGAGGAGAATGGAGGAGAAGGGATTGCGGCGTGACCATCCCCCCTGACGGGTGATTTCTCGCTTTCTGTCTCTATGTCTCTCTCTGTCTGTCTGGCGAGCGCACGCGCCCTACAGTGAAAATCTCTCCAAAAAAAAAAAAAAAGCTGGTTAGATCACCTCTCCCTTCCCCTGGGGCTCCAGGTCCCATGACTGCTATAGTTAGTCTACTCTGGGAAATTCGCACTCACTGTCCCCTGAAATGCCCTTTGCTTACCTCCCAGATGACAGAAATGTGGTTTCTATCATACAATGTGAAATGGTGTTTCAAAAACCAATTTTGCAAAACAATTTTACCAGAAATTCCCGACGGTAAAGTGCTGTGGTTTTCCCTGGAATCAGCGGGCTACGCTGGAGAACTCACAACTGCGCAGTCGCTCCGTGCCCATCTGCCATGTAATGATCACAACGGCTTTTCTGTTTAAAGCGAGGAAGCCAGGCAATAGCGTCACCTCGTCACTTGACAGACAGTACTGAAGGAAACCCGTGCTTTAAGAACACAGACTGATTTCAAGCCAACTAGCTACGCCGGACACAAAAGGAGCTGGTGCTTTCGATTCTTATAAAGACAGCCAAGGTCAGGGCCACTTAGAATCCTATTACAATAAAATTCGAATCGTTTAATTTTGTCTTTAATCAAAATCCTGCTGCACAGAGAAATCCCAGCAGCTCTACTTCATGATATCAAAAATAGAATTACCTTAAAACTTTACTCCACTAATAAACAGCTTTGAGAGGCCAGTTGATGGCACCAGGTAGAATGCAGTGCTGCGAGCCTGGCCCATGTGAGGTTTCTGATTCAAGGCTAGAGTCCCCCCAAGTACTCCAGGCATGTGTGCCCCAGACCTGGGGCTGGCTGAGGGCGGGAGCTGATCACATAAAGACCCTGTCGGGGTGCTCTCTCTATGTCTCTCTCTCTCTCTTTGTCTGTCTCTCATAGAAGAACGAACTTAAAACAGATTTGGGATGTTGACACATGTGATGAGTTTCAGATAAAGACCCAGTGCAAATGACTGGACTAAATTGTTTCCAATTTCTGATGGGTCACATCTGGTCTAAGGCTGGCTTGTCACGGAGAGAACCAAACAGCAAATCTGTACGAGCACTGGGGAGTCTGTGGTCTTTCCTGTGTTTACAGTCCACTGATGGAATCATCGCTGAAGTTCAAGGACCTGGCCCGAAGTTGGTTACCATTCCCCTCCCTCTTCCTTTTTTTTTTTTTTTTTTTTTGAGCAG